GTCCTGATGGGCCCCATCTCCGCTGCGTCGAGGTTGCGTCGAGCCATTCGGGTCTGCGCTGCAGCGTCCATGGCCGCGCTGCTGGTTGCCGCTGATGTCGGTGCCGTCGGCTCCTGCTCCAGGTCAGCGTCGTCGTCCGCGGGGATCGCAGCTGCCTCGGCTGGTGCTGTGGGTGGCTCTGACGTCGGTCGGCTCGGTGACCTTGGCTCGGCTTGCGGCTCCGAGCTCTGGGTGCCTAGCCCTTGCCGCAGCCTGTCTGCCACGGCCTGCTCGGGCGTCGGCACCGTCCCACCTGCACCTCCTGTGCCTGGCGCGGGCTCGTCGGAGACGTCCATAGGCTGTGCGAAGTCATCCTCCGTTGGCCCGGGCAGCTGGCTGAAGTCAAAGAACTGCACGATACTTCCACGTCGTAGGCCTTGCTTGGCATCGCTCGGACGTGTGCATTTTTTCTCGGCGAGGACCATCGAGGACCATCCTGGACCATCGAGCAAAAACAACACGCACGACACTGAAAAATTCACGGGAAATGGACGTCCGAGCGATGGCGAGCTTGGAGTGTAGCTTGGGCATGCTGTAGGTTCTCGGGTCGTTTTGCCTTGCAGATGGTCTCCACGCTTGGTCGGATCTGGTCAGGACGGCATCGCAACAAGCTTCCACCAGGCGTGACCCAACGCACCTTGGGTTGACCGCTCTCGCCGTCCGCGCGTAGAGCCACGGTGGCTGGGCCCCTCCAGCGGGACTTTTGGGTGTCGACTGGCTCCCCGGTCGCGCCAGTGGTAGCACAGCTCGCCCACACTGACCGAGTCGTGGGTGTCGCGTCTCTTGCGTGGGAAAGCCCTGCGCAGACGCTCCGCCGAGTCCGCCTTGATGAAGGCGGCCGCTGTTGCCGATCGGTGTTGCATCACCTGCTGGAACTCCTGCTCCTCGAGGTAGGCCTCCGAGGCGGGCATGTGCATCGTGTCGGCGGACAGGGAGTCGTTGAGCTCAGGGTTGTAACCCACGACCCACTGTGCTGGGCTGTAGCCCTTGCAGTGCATCATCCAGTCGATTTGGTTGGGTACGTAGTCCAGCGCCGTCTTCGGGTTCTCGATGTTGCGCTCGAGGCCGGCCTCCTCGAACTAGAGCTCGATGGTCTCCCGAAGTACTTTATGCACTCGCTCGATAGGTCCAAGCATGTGGTGAGCCTCTCCAGGCGCCACTCGCATCTCTATGTTGTGTTGGCTGGCGTAGCTGAGCATCTCCTGGCTGCATGTAGTGTCTAGTCCAGGCCTTCTCGATGGACTTGATGGCTTCGCTGGTCGTCTCACGAGCCACGATGCGGCCCTTCTGGAATCGACAAGCTCCGTCCATCACGTGCGCGATCTTCGCCGATCCTGTGCGCAACTTGAACTCGAACATGTCCAGGTCGAGTGCCTGGTTGAAGGACTTCCAGGTCGTCGGTGCTGTCTTGAGTGATTGTGGCGCCTTGCGGCGCTCGGCACAGACCGAGCACGCGTAGCGCCTGGCACACTGGATGACCTCCTCGCGTGCACCCGCTGTCGTCAGCATACGCACGAACGTATCAGTACTGGGGTGGCCCAGGTTCTTGTGGAGCCGTTCCATATACCTGAACACATTCACGCCGAACTCGCTCTTGATGAGCCAGTTGGCGTAGATGTCCTTCACGTTCTCGTCGTTGAGGTTCACCTTGGTGTGGTAGATGTGCTCCACGGGGTCCTCGTCGGTCTCGAGCCCCAGCACGAGGAAGGCTGCGTCGTGCGTGTTCGCCTTGCTCAGCAGGTCGCTCAGGATCTTGGCCAACTGGGTGCTGTAGTTCTCCGCAAACTTTGTCCTGTACATGCTGGTGTCCTGCATCCTGCCCTCGAGCTGCACGTGGTCATGGCTCTTGTCACAGCGGTAGTCGTGCAGACCCTCGGCGAGATGCCGTTTGGTGGTCCGAACTCCAGTCCTCTTGCGAGCGGGTCCTTCTGGTATCTCCAGACCGGTCATGCACTGGTCGAATAGCACGTGGTGTCCTAACAGGTTGTACAGAGCATTTGTCTTCCAGCTTCTCGCTGTCGCGGGCTGCTCTAAATGTGTGACTCTACCTGTCTCCCACTGTGCGAGGTAACTCTTCCTAGAGAACATCAGGTGCGTGTCGTGATGCTCTCTCCTTTGAGCCTTCAAGGGCGTGCGAGCCTCCTCGGTCTTGCAGCTGATCTCCCATATCATTGACCACAGTCTGCACTCGGGACTCATCCAGACGTCGTCCGGCTCCTCCTGCTCGACCATCCAGAGAAATTTCATCTGCGTACTTACGTCACTGAAATCCCAGCCGTTGTGCAGTCCGAACGTCCTGGCCTTGGAACCTCGTCGGCGTAGTTCTGCTGTGAGCTCCGATTGGCCACCGTAGACCTCCCAGACTTTCCGCTTTCCACGCTGTACGTCACTCGCTCTGTCCAGGTTGCTGTTCACCTCCTTGTAGGCTGTGTGCACTGCGTCTTGGCATCGGCGGAGCTGCTTATTGCTGAGGTCCTTGGCCAAGCTGATGTTTTCGTCTTGTTCTTCTGTTTTGCTGATCTCAACCACGGTGCCGACGTAGTCCAGAGACTCCTCGTTTGGCAGCACATCTTGTCCAAGACACTCGGAGGGGCTGATCGGGTGCTGCACGCGAACAGGGTCCGATATATTCTGCGGTAGGAGGTTCTGGTCGGCTCGGTCTTTCATGCACGTGCCGAAGCTCTCCAGCATGTCAACGATGTAGTGTCCTTTCTGGGCTTGCTGGCGTAGTGGCGCGTCCCAGCGTGCCCTCTTGTTCTTGTAGTCCGTGACCATAGCGAGCTCCTCCATGATGGGCCTTGCGAACAGGAAAGTGTGCGTCCTGGTGTGATGTGCGTCGAAATCTCAATCAAACGTCCCCCAGGGAAGGAGGGAACCATCGCACATACTGTCGCACCACCAGTCGCATCGTTGTCATACCTGGAATACTTGAAACATGGGAAACTTCTCATAGTCTTCACTGGAAAGCCCTTCGCGACCAACCTCTGGCAATACGCTCTGAGAGTCTTCGTCTCCCACTATCCCGCCCTCGCCCGCGGGTTTCACCCAGCAGGCTAATCGTTCTGTGCAGGTTTGATTAGTGTTTTGTACGCATTCCCAGGGCGATCAAACATGTTTTCGGTCGGTGGGGACCATGTGACCACCTCAAGCTTCCATCCGCGATTTGTCCGCAACTCTCGCGGAAGCTGCGGGTTTGCCATTTGACCCGCACCTTCACGAACTATCAGCAAGATGCTGATGATATTTGCTTGTTCCAAGATTTCCAGAGGTGCTAGGGCTAAGTAAGAGGGTCTAGTCTAGTCTGGGTTTTCGGCATGAAGGCCCTTGCACTTCAGCCCAGAACCGCCGAAGCTTTACGACAGATTCGGTGCATTTGACAGTCAATCCAACGTCAATGGCATCAGGTCGGTCCATCACAACTTCTGTTTTAAGTCTTGCCCCGCGGGGGGCGCTCAGCACCGAGGCCACATCCCGTCATAGCAGAGCGATGGGCCGCACATGATAGCAAACAAACATTGTCCACGGCTTCAGTCAGTCACTGCACCTCGTTCCCTATGGCGCTCTGTCTCGCGGTCCCCCCTCCACGGCAAGCCTCCGCGAACGCCCGCGATTCCTTGGGGCGTGCTCGACGAGGATGCCTTGGGGGATGTTCGCTGAGGATCACGCACGCGCCTTCGGTCGGCGGTCCTCGTTTTGTGGCCACGACGCGAGCACGTTGCCGATGTATCCGCGATCTATCTCTGTGGCGTTTGTGTACTTCTCATGGCCGCCATCCCGTTTGCACGCAGAGCGCAACCACTCGCGCCCCAGGGTGCGGCTTCCAGCGCCCTGGTATCGCATTCGCGAGCAACGCCCGCACGCCGCACAGAACATGGCACCGCCACCCGACCGCAGGCGATGGCGTCTGCGAGGAAGCCGGCGCGACACGTGTGTGTGCCGCCGCGCACGCAGCGAACACGGCGAACCCTGCCGCCGACCCTGCTCGGATCGTGCCCGCCGTCCTGCCGCCGGGGAGCACCTCGGCAGCGAGGGCAGGAGAGCGGCACGGCCGCAGAGCCCGCCGCTGCGCTCCTGCCGTGGGGAACGGCCACGCTGTGCAGGAGCCGACCGAGGAGCCCGGCCCGCACACGGCGCTCGGTGGAGCGCCGATGCCACGCCCTCTGCTCCGCAGCGGCATCGCTGGGATGGGAGCGGGCGCCCTTCCGTGCAGCAGAACCGGCGTCGTGGTCGCCGAGACGAGGGCAGCGTGCGATGTGGTTCAAGCAGTCGTCGCTGGACTTTGCAGACCCGCGCCCGAGACTCGAAGTCAGCAAGGGCACCCCAGATAGCCGTCCACAAGTCGGTTGCGATAATTTCCGCAACCTCCGAATCCTGCATTTGCCCACGGAGAACGGCACGAGCAGGATGAGCATCATCGGGAGGAGGCGGTGGAGGGGGACGAGAAGGACTTGCCCTTGGGCAGGGGATGCGATGAGAAGGAGGGTGTCCACCAGGAGCCCATATCCCGACGTCATACTTTTTCACAGCGTCGAGCCCCAGAAGTCTCGACCCATGCCCCGAGACCCGGCGAGGGCCCCCAGAGGCTGAAACCAGCAGAAACCTTCCGTCGTGATTTTTTCATTGCCCGAGGGGGTCTGGGAGGACGGGGACGTGGCCGATCCAGGACCTCTTCCTCAACCTCGTGCTCGACTTCGCCCTGTTCGTCTTTGTCGTCGCCCTCGTCGTGCCGTTGGTCGTCGCCCTCCTTCTCGTCCTCGTTCTCGTCCTGACCGCCGCCGTCGCCGTCGCCGTCGCCGTCGCCGTCGCCGTCGCCGTCGCCGTCGCCGTCGCCGTCGCCGTCGCCGTCGCCGTCGTCGTCATCGCCGTCGCCGTCGTCGTCGTCGTCGCCGTCGTCGTCGTCGTCGTCGTCGTCGTCATCGTCGTCGTCATCCTCGTCGTCGTCGTCGTCAGCGTCAGCGTCAGCGTCAGCGTCGTCGCCGAGCCTCCGGAGCATCCGCAGCCGGGCCGGCCCAAAAGCGCCGTTCTGGGCCCCCGGGCGGCCGCCCCGCTGCGCCCCCCTCGGGGCAGCCCCGCCCCCGCCCTGGGGGCCGCCCCGGGCCGGGGCCGCCCCCGTCGGGCCCGGGCCTCCCAAGGGGGGCCTGAGTGGGCGGGGTCGACGGGGTCGCGCCGCATCGCCGATGCGTCGGCGCTGCGGCTCGACGTGGAGCTCGAGTTTCTCGACGTCGACGGGGCCGATGCGTCGCCGATGCGTCGACGGTGCATCGCCGATGCAGCGGCGATGCGGCGCGATCCTCCGACCCCATCTGCTCGGACCCAAGTTGGGCGGCCTCTAGTCGGCCCTGAGCTGCGGCTGGGCGCGAGCGCGCGCGTGCGCGCGCCCACGATCTCGGGTGTTACCAGACCCAGACCCCCTCGATTCATGAAGAACACACGACAGCAGGTTTTTTTCCCTTTTCGGCCTGCGTGGGCCCTTGCTGGGCCTGGAGACCGTCCAGAAACGATTCAGGATGAAAAACTATTCCTGGGCAATGTATCTAGACCTCTGGGGGTCGACGTATATGAACAAGTCATGACGCGGAGGTCAGGGGAAGTGCTCCTGGCCCAAGGTGCCCCCAGGGTTTCCAAGGAGGCCCCCACGGCCTCCAGAGCACCCCTCACGAGGCCCAGAGGGCCCCAGGAGCTCCACGATGGTGCAAAACGCTGGGGCTGCCTTGGGGCCAGGGGTGCCTTCAGCAATCCCCGAGCGATGATGAGGGGCGGCGGCGGCGGACGCGGCGGCGCACGCGGGCTGCTGCCGGCCCTGCTGGGGCTGCTGTGCGGCGGTGCTCGAGGGCGAAGCACCTACCCATCGGTCGTTGAAAGCAGGTATTTTTTTGGACTCTCATATTCCAGTCTGCTTTAAGAGCGCCTTCCTACTTCAAGCACTGGTCGAGAGGCTTCCCCTGTTCCGTCCTCCTTTGGGGGGGGGAGAGCTCAATCTGCTTCCAACGCCTTCCTACTTTCTGTCTCTACCGACTTCTTCCGACCGGTGGGTACGTATCCGTCTCCACGGTCTCGCGGGCCGGGCCCCTGCGCCGCGATCCCGCGGATGCGGGGCGTTTTTCCGCGCATGCCCCTCGCGGAACGTATCCGTGCGACCGCGTATCCGCGGGATCGCCCCCTGGGAGCCAGACAACGCGGGGGCGCGGATACGGATGCTTTCGCCGCTCGTGAGGTGCGCTCTCTGGGAGCGACTCGAGCCGGTCGAAGTGCAACGCCCGGTTCAAGGCGCCCGAGGATCCGGTGGGCGGTATAAAGTGGGGCAGGTCGTTCGGCAAGAATCGCGGGGAGTGGTCCGAGTTGAGACCGTTTGTGTATCCCCTGGAGATAACGGGCCTGACTGGGAGGGGGAGGGGGTGTGGGAGGGGGCCAGGCACGCCACGATTCGCGACGGCGCCGATCATGGGATCCTCAGGGATGGCTCATCTCCTTTGGCGCCAGCGCGAATCGTGACGTGACTTAGGGGGGGAGGGGGGAGGGCGGGGCCGGTCCATGGGCGTCATCTAGAATAATAAACAGCGTGCTTTTTGGAGGGCAGTGCAGGCTGGTGCAGATCAGGCCCCTCCACCCGTCGGCGTTCACCAAGGCTTGCGCCCCAGCGAGCTTCGGCTCTCGGGGTTGGGGCAGGCGATGGGTATGTAGCGTTCGCTGGTTACGTTCGGTGGGTAGTGGTACCGCAACACTTCGGCACACACACAGTTTTCGTCACATATCTGAGCGTGGCTCTTAAGGCTAGTGGTGCGTTTCACGGCAACTCACACAAGGGTCTACCAGGGGATACCGGTCATCAGGTTTCGTAGGATTGACCTCCACCGATTTGATCTTGAGTCCTTGGCGGCCCTCAGTGTACCGCTCTCCACGTTCTTTACAGATGGCTTTCTGCTGACATGCACCTGGTGGCGATAACGCACGTCTTCTGGATTATTGAGGGTCGGCCCTGGCATTGTTGACCCACTCTGCCAGGGAATAGTTGCAATTGTGGCATCTTAGCCACGCTTCCGACGGCTCTGAACAAGCCACGCAGGGAGCTTTGGGAGCGCCTAGAAGTGCCCAGAAATTCTGGCCCTGCGCCACCCGCTACGGAATTTTTCATGACCGTAGATGCAGGGAGCTCGGATGGACCTTAGGGCACTCTGTGCAGTGCCCACGGCACGGTGGTGGATGTATTTTATTGGGCTGCTCTGCGCGGAGGGTGGTCGCGTGGGGGTGTGGTTCGTGGCCCCATGGGAAGCTCAACTGAAGGCCCCAGTGGGAGGGTTCGCACGGCGCCACCGCGCCCATGTCGACACTCCCCTCAAACGCCTCGTGGTCCCATAGGGAGCTCCACCGAAGGCCCCAGTGGCCAGTTTCGCGTGGCGGCACCGCACCCATTCCGGCACACCCCTCACACGCTTCGTGGCACCACAGGGAGCTCCGCCGAAGGCCCCCGTGGTAAGGTTCGCATGGCACCACCGCGAAGGCCCCAGTGGCAAGGTTCGCATGGCGCCACCGCGCCCATTTCGGCACACCACTCACACGTTTCGTGGCCCCATAGGGAGCTCAACCGAAAGCTCCAGCGTCAGCGCTCGCATGGCGCCACCGCGCCCATTTCGGCACACCCCTCACTTTCGTGGCCCCGAAGGGAGCTCCACCAATTGCCCCGGTAGCAGGGTTCGCATGGCGCCACCGCGCCCATTTCGGAACACCCCTCACACGTTTCGCGGCCCCATCGACGATTTCGGCACACCCTTCACACGTTTCGTGCCCCCATGGGGAGCTCCACCGAGGGCCCCAGCGGTAGGATGTGCATGGCGGCACCGCGCCCATCTCGGCATACCCCGACACGTTTCGTGACCCCATGAGGGGGGTGCCCTTCTGTCGTCCCGCCTTCCTCGCAGCACTCGATCCCGCATGCGTGTGGTTTGGTCCTTCGCCATAATACTTTTTTGGGGGTGGGGCGAGGGGAGCAGAGAACAGGCTGTTCGGCGGAGTGGCACTGGGGTGGTGTTTCTTAAACAGCTCGACTTGCTCACCACCGCGAGGCGTCCACAGGCCACTGGCCACAGGTCTCAGTGAACATCGGGTCCTGACCAGGCCCTATGGCCGTACATTCCTTTCCCCCCTCTCTCCATAATGATCTCCAGTATCTTCTGTCGCTGTATCTTCGGTATCTAACAGAAGTGCTGAAAAGAACAGTGGATCTGCTCTGCAGGACGGGCGCAATGTAGGCGCCAGCTTGGGCGAGGATGACCCACTTGATCTCCCAGTTTATAGAGATTGAATCATACAGCGGCCGAGCAGACGTGTTGTCATGCCACCAGTGTCGACCACCACCATGACAAAGGGCTGCGCTCTCTGCCGCTAGCCCCCCCCCAGACGGAGTCAGATTGCTGGATATTTTGGGGCACACTTGGTCCATTCAGGTCAAGAACCATTGCCCAAGATGTCTTCCGCGCGGGGGCACGCCAATGTCGAGAGACGCGCCGGGAAAGGTGCTCGAATGCTTGATCTATATATATCTCTCTCTATACACACATATATACACACATATATACATATATATATATATTTATGGTGCTGCTTGTTAGCACATTGTTACGTTCTGCTTTTTGGGCACGTCTCTGGGCTTCTGGCGGCCCTCTCGGACGACGCGATCCCGTGGGGGCTCGGCGGTCTTAGAAGTTTCTCTCCCCCTCCTCCTCCTCCTCCTCCTCCTCCTGCTCCTCCTCCTCCTCCTCCTCCTCCTCCTCCTCCTCCTCCTCCCGCGCCGCGCGAGGAGCCCAGGCTGGCCACGGAGCACAACGGCGTGGCGCTGGAGGAGACGTGCTTCGACCGCGAGGGCCCGCACCACGTCTTCGTCATCGGCGACTGGGGCGGCATGGACACGCCCAGGATGAGGAGGAGGGGAAGGAGGAGGAGGAGGAGGAGGAGGAGGAGGAG